GGTCGTCGCGCGAAACGAGACACCAGGGCCGCTCTTGTCACGTTGGTAGCGCGATGAAAGGCGTGTCTTAATTTTCACGTTCATTTGCGATGCGTAACGTCGGGAGAAAAGTAGAAATGCAATGGTAATGACTCGCGCCCGCGGATTGCGGTTTGAATTCGTTGTGCTTCGGAAGCCATAAAAATTTTTCCGCGCAAATATTGCGACAGCGAGATCAGAGCACGCTTGGAAATGAAATTAGCTTTCCATTTCCAAGTTTCTGCGTTCTGTTCTCGCACTCGCAGATCCGGCAGATGTAATCTCGAATTTTAATTTAACTTTATTATCACCTTAATTATTCGTTGCATTAGTTAGTAGGAAAAATAATTTATGTCGCACTTCGGATATCAGAATTAGCTGCGCGGAAAATAATCCTCTATCCCGCCTCCGACTGCGTTACACTCGGAGAGATCGCTCGCTGCTCGGATATATGTCGGTCGGTTGTGATTCCTTTTAATTCTCGCTACGTAAAGACACGCGTAGCAACACACACACACGGATAAAATAATTCGCCGGCACAGTAAATATTATGCAGCTAAATCTGTTGGTTACCATGTGGGGAGCAAAACGTCTTCTTAAGAGTATTAATCTACTCGCTGGATATATTTTACTGAATCTACAAATTATTTTGTGGAAGAACAAAGTAGTGAATATAAGAAATTTATTATTTTAACAGCAGACATTAAAAAACTTTGCGTTAAATTTAACACATTTCACATGTCCCAAATGGTCCACACGAGTTTTTGCGTTAATTTAACACAAGATGAATATGTTGAAAAGTAAGACACATATTATGTAAAAAATTAACACAAAATTAATATCCATAATATGTTAATCGACATTAAAGTATACGATGTGTTATTTTAATTAATAATATAACATAATATATTAATCGACATTGAAATCTTTTTGTATTCAGATTAAAATCGGCCCTGGCTAAAAATTTTGTGTTAAGTTTTTAACGTACCCGTGGGTTAATTTAACATTGTGTTTATGTTACCACAATACTTTGTGTTGAGTCATTTTAACTTGTATCGACATTTTAGCTTATATCGACTCAACACAAAATATTGAGATAACATAAATACAATACGTTAAATTAACCCACGGTTATGTTAAAAACTTAACACAGAAATTTTGGCAACGACCGATTTTAACCCAAGTACGAAAACGATTTCACTGTGCACATCAACATGTCTCCAGGACGAATTTACTCAACGAAATTTTTCTGCGGCAAAACTGTTCCTGCTCTGATTACGAATAGTTCGCGAATTTATTTTTGCCGGCTAAATTACCGTTGTCGCGGCGACGTATGCAACAGCAACAACGGTTTCGTTAAAACGGTAAAATCATTTTTCCCCGCACACGCATCGTTCCGTCAATGTATAATTAGCATCAAGCTATGTTTGGTTTAATTGCAGCAGAGGAGGGATGCTCTTTGTTGCTCTCTTTTGCGATGTTACGCGATATCGGATATTTACCCCGCCGCGATATCTCAAAGCGAAGCAAAATACGGAATGTATATATTTTGATATCGATCCACGTCAAAGCCGCAAATCTAACGTCTACTCGGAGTCGATCAAACGTTTATAAATTGCGCGGAGAACTAAAAGGATCTCGGGGAAATTTCGCGACGAAAGCACCCCCGTCGTGAAAGCGCGCGCACGCCAGTATAACAAGTTACCGTAACCGTCGCTGCTAGTAGTCGTGACAAAAAAGGAGGACCGAGAGTTGTGAAAAAGCTCGAGGTACCCAAATAAAATTGTTCGCCTGTAATCGAGTCCTCGAAGGGGAAAAGCTGCGTCGTCGTCGTCGTAGAGAACCTTCGAATGCCAATATTCGTCGTTTATGCATACGTCGCGTTTCCCTCTCGCGCGGCTGCCTGCGTAGCAAATCTCGAGGAGGACGTACGAAGGGAAAATATCAATCGCGCCTCCGATATCACGGTTAATTAAATCCTCCTCCGATACATCCGTTCTTTACCATTTCTCGCGCCTTCGTCCTCGACGTTCGCACGTTGCCAGCAACTCGACGACAAACTTCACCCGTGAGCGGACGCTCCGTGGGCTCAAACTGGCCCGGATGCGTAACTTGCAAGCTACGCGTTAATTAACCAAATATATTACGTCAAGAAATATTTCTAAAACTAGGAATTTCCAATCAACGATTATTTCAACTTCGTATTTCAAGCACACCGCGCTCTATAAATATGCATTAATAAGAGTGAATATTTTCACCCACGCTCGAAATACACGAATAAATTAAAACATCGGTCAAATTGAGCCCCACGCGAGCAGTCCTCGTGTGGAAGAAAAAAGCTACACGCTCCTTTGAGGATGAACAATCTCCGTCGTTAAACGTAATCGCACGGGCCATCATCTGCGACCTCTCGCCGGCGGGGAAATCGCCGGCTAATTCGAAGGGGCACAACGCACCGGTTTCACCGGGTTCTTCCGCGTGAAACCCGGTGTGTACGCGGGTCCATTAATATCCCCGCGCTGCTGCGAGAGTCGTTTTTCACGGCGCACCGCAAAAGTCATCGCCGTGGATGCGGTTCTCGCGTAAAAAGCTCGAGTGTCACGCGGTACCGGCTGATGCTTTCGCAGCGGCGACGTTGCGCGACGGTGACGAGTTCGTCGTGACGAGCACGATGACAACGTCGTCTTCGTCTTCGTCGTCGTCAGGGTCCGCGAGGAGATACCGTGGCGGACGCGGGAGAGAACGGCAGAATTTAATTTCTGCGTAACATTACACCTTAGGAGCCTTATACCAGCGCCATTGTGCGCCTCCAGGGGGCGACGCGCGGAGAGACACTCGATCGCAGGACTCCATTTGCGGTTTAGCATAATGGAAACCCAACGCGCCCCGGGGGCCGTCCGCGCCCCTACCCTCGACGTCTCGTCTTGCCTTGTTCTACTTCGTTCTCGTATTCTCCGGCTCTGTGTGTGTGGGTCTGCATGTTGTGACCATGTAAGAATGAACGAAAATAAGTAAGCCGTGGAAACACGGCGGGAAAGATAACCCGGCGCTCTCTCTCGCGGTCCACCATTCAGCGTCAAACATGGGCGATTTCTAACGAGGGCGAAAACGCGACATGCCTCGCGGATTCCCTCCCTCGTATGAAAATACTTATTCATTAACGCGTGGGATCTGTTAACGAATACGTACAATTGTCCGCGCGTGATCCTCCGGTGTAATGGAGAAAACAGCGTCTACGTGTATCGGTGATTCGTGTTTAATTTCGTTAAAATCGATTTCTCCGGAGCAGGTAGAGCTGATTCTCCGTTCTCGTTTAATACTTTGCGAAGACGTTTCATTACGGAGATCGTGAGGCTCAGTGTCGCATTTTCAGTGGCGCATCAACGGGGCTGCTCGTGAACGATAAATGTATTTATCAAGCGAAATTACGTTCCATTACATTTCTTTCACTACCCAAATCATAAATGTGAATTCGGAACGAAGCTGAGGTAAACATACAGAGAGGAAAGGGGCCTAATTCCGACCAGTTTTTCATTATTCTCTTGCGTGCAAGCATAAAGCATTTGTTTATTTTAAGTGTCTGTATTTACTGTGTAATATTGACATCAGTCTAATCTAAGTAATTTGTTTCGTAAATCGGATCACAAGTTTCCTGCATTGGACCGCTCCCAGAAACCAATGAAATTAAATCTACAATCTAGAATCTACAATCTAAGAAAACTGTTTAAGATGTTAGAAGAAAAAAAGGAAGAAACCACTACACTACAAGGGGGGAGCTCAAATAAATGTCTACATTGTGATGAACTGATAGTTGAAAATACGTTTGTGCTTTAAACATAATTACACTTTTGGTAGGCTCACAAAATTGGAATTTAACTTCTTCGTGGCAAAAAACAGACTGTCAGAGAGAATCTGTCTCACGGTGCACGTAGAGCACTAGTATTTCTTTTTACTTGTTTTCGCCTTAGCACAACGAGGCTGTCTCGTTCTAGCATCTTCCACGCTCACTCCGTAAGCCAGCGTAGCCAACGATGACACTGCAAATATCTCTCTTGTTCAAAATACACGCCGGCCCAATCTTGGAGCTAACCCAAACTCGACAACTCCCCTCTATATAAAATATTACAAATGTACTAAAATGCTTTTTATTCTTTTTATTAATGTATATTTATACATCAGCTGGTCTAACAAAAATACACAAATAATAGAAAGAATTATATCTATAATATAGGTATATGTTATATAAGAGCGTTTAAATATGCGCATACGTATACGTATTTCAAGTATTACTATAAATTATGAACCTGACATACGTTATACTTTCAAAGTAGTCACTAATTTTGAAAATTATATAATGCCTGTACTTTAGTCTTTAAAATATCATAATAGTTTTACGTCAAAATCTTATTTTCAGTTAAGAAGATCTGAAAAATAGTGAAAAATACTATGTTAATCTCAAGAAACATATATAAAAAGTGTCGACCTGAATTGCAGATATCTCAGCTGGAACGGTCAATCTATCGAATTTCACGAGCAGTTAAATAATATTTCGCCGTGTGCGCGGCGCAAGTCGTTTCATCGAATTCTTATCAAACTCGTTTCGCTTTACGATCTCCTTCAAATCGGCGCCGCCTCCGATGGACGGTAGCTTATTCCGCACGCTTCGAGTCGAGAAGTTGGCCACTCAGCAGCCGCGTTCTCACGTCTCATTCCGCGAATAAAAATGCGTTCCGAGTTGCCAGACGTCCGTCCTCTTTGCTGGTAAGCTACCGCTAATGACGCTGGGGTCGTTCAAGCGCTCAGACATATCCATCACGGCGTAAAGGGTGCCGGAATGATCCTCGAATCAGCCAGCAAATGTACGTCCGCCTCGATGGCCGTCGTCTGACGCGAGAGAGCGCCCACGGCTAGACTCATTTTCGGCGGCTAAACCGAGCCACGTCGCCTTTCTCTCTCTCACTCCTTATCTTTTATTCTTACAGGGAGGCTGTGATGAGGGAAGTCGGCTAAAAAGGAGCCCCGCGTCGCGCAAGCGTCGGTAGGAGTATAGGAAAGATGCCGCTTTCCTCGAGAGTCTTATTAAGCCCGCTGCTGCTTCTAATCATCGCAGGAAGCACCGGCGCCTTCAACTCACGGCAGGGAGGTAAGAAACCTTCGCCTTGAACGACGTTTCGCCGCTAGGGTAGACAATGACGATGACATCGACGACGGCTACGACGACGACGACGACGGTTGTTACGAATTCTGCCTTTTCGCGGCTACGACGAATTTTCACGAGAATAGTCGCGATTCTACTCCTCTTCTCCCTTCCCATTCGCTCCCGAGCTCGTTGCTAGGCGTTGTATCCTCAAGTTTTGAGATAGCGCATATTTCCGTCCCCACGGAGCTTCCGTCTGTCAATTTCACGCTATTTGCGCACTCGTCGGCAAGCGTGAAAATACGTTATCGCGGCGTAACGCCCGTTCCTTTATTTTACGCACGTTCCTTCGACGATCGGAACGCCGGCGACGCATCTTCGGGACAGAAAAGGCTTAAGGTGCGACAAATATACTTGTAAAAGTGATTGAGTGTCTGCTACGTGTGATTTTTTAACGTTGCGTGTACGGCACTCCCACCATTCGGAAAAACAATTACGTGTCCCACGATTAAGTTTGTAGGTGCTTCTTAAATGCTTTTGAGAGCAACGAACACGATGTTTGGATGTCTTTCTCGGTTGAAAGAAACGGACACGAGTCAACAAAGAAGACCCATTGCATTATATACTCTAACGATACGGTCTTAAAGTGTCGCTGGTGACTCGCGATAAACTTCGTTTTTAAAAAAAATCTCAGTAATTACCGACTTTTGAACCCGCTACGACCTTAAGAGTCTTTTACTCAGTATTCAGCACTTTTTCCAGTTGCAGAGTCAAAAGTTACACATTCCATTGAAAAAGGAAAAAAAACTCAAGACGACCTTCGCATCTCGATAAAGAAGCAAAATAACGCAAAACTAATTATTATTACTGCACGTCCTGCTTGAGGACGTACTTCTTGTTATTAGCTTTTTTCATCGAGATACGAGGGACACCCTGACTTTTGACCATAAACAACCTTTGTTCGAGACACCTCTTCACATAGCAAACAGTTTACGAGCAGGTGGTCGAGTTAGGCGACTCACCTCGTACAGGTGCTGTATATCTATCGGAAGCGGACGGGTTTGTCTTTTAAATGCAATTGACCTCGTCCGGCTGCGATGTTTCCGCGCCGAGATATCGACGTGCGGCGAATCCTTTAACGGGGACCGAGGCCCCAGGACAATGTCGCGTTCCTTTTGACCCGTGCGCACCGTTGTTCCTGCCGGGTGGGATGTGCGTATAAAATCCGTAGCACGAATATACCGCGATGTGCTGGCCGACGCGATGGCACGCACGCGGCTTTAAAAGAGAGCTTGAAAATTTCGAACGGTCGTATCTCGGCGAAAAATCGACGTACGAAGCACGCGACAGACGAGCGAGGGCCATTCTTCCCGGTATCACTCGTGCACGCCCGTCACGTGCGCCGTTGTCTTGACACGTGCGCTCCACGGATACGATTATGACACCACACGTGGAATACACGTGTGTGCGCGGACGCGCTCCGTCGCGCGGAGACGTCGGATAACGTTTCAACAGGGACGCGTGCTGCGCGAGCTTTCCGTTCGCGTAAAGCGCACGAAAATGTTGCTTCCCGAGCAACTCGATCCGTCACTTCGCCCGAATGGGGAAAAAGTGGCACACGCGATCCCGTACGGAAAGCAGCTCTCTAATGTCCTCTTTTTTACTTCGGCGCGATGATACATTGTTATCGCGCTTCTTACTACGGAGACGCCGGGGGAGAAAGTATCTCCCTTTTTCTTTCCTTTCCTCCCTCCCTCCACCCTCCCCCCTCCCCCATCTCGCCACCGGGAGAGGAAGATACGCGGAATTGTGTGCGCGGTAATCGGCTTCAATATGCTCCCGCGAGGTGCACGCGGGAATTCTTCCGGCGGAATCACGGCGCACGCCGCGGAAGATAAACGCGCCCGGCGGAATATTTGGAGCGCGGGGACATCCCGGCGAACTCCTCCCCCCGAGCATTCGCAACTTCGCACCCGTCCCGCCTCGGCCGATTTCGACGGCCACGGAGTCACCTGCGGTTATTCTCGGTCTCGCGCGGATATGTCGACGAGAGAGAGAGAGAGAGAGGATAACGGCGCTCTCGTACGCGCACCGTTGGTAGGGAGACGGTGATGTAAGCAAAATATTTCCATCGCACCTTCCAACCGGTGTCATCCGTTTCCTCTCTTCCCCTCTCCTCCTATTTCTCCCCCTGGCTTCCCCACCCTCTCGCTCTGTATCTCGCCTGCGCCTCAGCTGGTATCCTCTCTTTCTCTCCGTCCTCGCTAGTTGGGTCTCTAGAGAGAACGCCTCTTAGTGACCATTTCCTAGATTAAGGTCACCTGGAAAGCAAATAGTTGTCGGACGAAGTGGAATAGTGAGAAAGAGAGAGGGAGGGGGAGAAAGAGGAACGCTCAGGGTGGTCGGGGCCGACGACGAACTTCCGGTGTATACGTCCCTGGAAAACTATTATGCGCGAACGTCCGCTGCATTCGAGGAGAAACTCGGCGCGCCAGAATGTACGACTGAGCGCCGGACAAATTGTCCTGCGATCCTCGCGACTCGCCAATGACGGTACATCCTTCGGTCACACTCTCTCTCTCTCTCTCTTTCTCGAGAATGCGTTCGATCGATACACTGGATCAGTGGTTTCCAACCTTTTCGCGAAGAGCGGGACGCGCTCCGGCGCGATAAAAAGTCTGAGAAAGCGGTTGTCCGTTGCTCAGAACGGAAGAAGAGAAATTGAGACAGAAGGGAGTGGTCATGGGAGTGTAGCCAAGGGGGAGCTGGAGGCGCTTGCCCACCCTTAAATTTTGGCGAGGAAAAACGGTTGAATTATGAAAATCGTAAAAATAAAGAAATATAACTCATACATTAAAATCTACATAGTAAAAAATCTTGCGTCTAAATGTTAAAATTTTCTTGTACGTTATCATTTTTTGATTGTCGCTTCAATGTCTCTAAGGAGAATAGTAGCATTTCATGTTAAATTTACGGTTGTTTATTGATTTTTAAAGTAAAAGGAAAGCGTTCGGAGTATTTTGCGAGTGTGCCGAATCGATTAGTCATTTTGTGGGTATATCATTTTTATTTGAACATATACCGCAACAATTTTCGGTACGTGTCTGCCCGCTTCTGACATCGTCAAACAAGACGATTTGCCGGAAGCGAGCGGCCGGAAGCTTTCAAGATAACGTGTAAAGATGTATAATAAATCTACGGAATAATGTAATTTCAGTGCTTTTATATCATTTTTTAGCCATTTTCTGACAGGCAGCAAGGATTTGTCGGCTTCAGAATCTATTTCCTCGAAGCGTCATTTCCCCGACTTCTTCAAAAATAGTCATTTGAGTGATAATATGCACATAGAGAAAAAATGCTAGATTCAAGCAAATGATTACTCTAGCAAATTTTCACTTGGATCAAGTAAGTTTTATTTGGATCAAGTAAAGTGTGTTTTACTTCGATAATTTGTTTGGAAGATACTTTACTTGGATAATTTACTCGGGAAATATTTTACTTGGATCAAGTGAACATTACTTGGTTCAAATAAAACTTTGCTAAGGAATATTGGAGTAATTATTTACTTAAATCCGGCACCGTTTCTCTATATAATAACTTTCAAAAAACTACAATATTCTTTGAAGAAAAGATACGTTGCATGCATGCATGCACACAAATTTTAACTCCGCATCTTCAAGAGAATTTCAAAGCCCAAGAACAAAACGATACGGTCGGTCATGTTGCTTCTCCCTGCAACATGTCGCACATTTTCGCCTCAAAATACCGATCCTCGCGAGAGGCACACGCCTCGTCTTCGGAACGCGTGGGAACGAATTTCGCGCCGACTTCGCGGCTCGTTGGCAAGTAACGTCTCGGGGTGTAACGATTTTCCGATATCCGAGATATTTCTTTCTCATTAGGATGAACGTCGATCGCGCGCACGCGCGTAACGTCGCGCGTTCGTGCGCGGCGCGCGGACAAACAGATTTCAGAGGCGCTCTGCGAAACTAATAATAACCCCGGCGAAACTTCGCCGAAACTTCCTCTTAGTCCCGCCGTCGTTTCGCGCCGACGTGGTCCCATAATAATCAACGAATCCGGCGTGCGTGTGTGTGCGCGCGCGTACGTACCTCCGCGATTTCCCGACAGAAGGGCCGACCTTAGAATCCGACCCGGTTCCGCATTTAGGTCAGCCCGTGCGGCTATTCTCGGGCGAGACACCCCTCTCAGCTACTTACCTACCTACCCCCGTCGTTCGGGCGGACGTTGATTAGCTGGAAATTTATGCGCCCTGGAGTCGACGCTGATATCCGGCGGCGAAATCGCGGCCTATGAGGAAGAGAGAAAACACCGTCGGGGAGAAGAACTTGGTCGCCCTAATCGCGGGGCAAACAAGATTATCTGATCGAATTTTAACGGAGGCCTCGCGTGATCTCTCTTGGCCGACGACGACGGGGAGGACGAAGCGAGCGCGACCAGCCGAAACTCTCGCGCCGGCCAGCCGCTCGTAAATACTTGTAGCTCGCCGGCCGTGTGTTCGAGCGTGTTTCCGTTCAACTTAGCGAGGCGACAACGACGAAGACGACGAAGGGGACGAGCGTAGACAACCTCGAGCGGCGAATTTACAGCGTATAAACACGTTGTCCTAGTTATCTCGCTCGTTGCTTTCGCGCAGCCTCCTATCCTTTTATTACGTGTTCCCCCTCCCACCCCCCCAACCTCCTCGCTATTTGTCGCCTTTTTCCATGTGACTCTCGTCGCGCGACGCTGCTGCCTTATCTTAATATTGGGGAATTTAAGCGAAACGCGTCCCGCCGCGTTTACTTCCCGGCGTCGTAAAGGCCGTCTTGCGGAGAGGCTTTTATAGTTTATACGTGGCTATATGTAATATATAAATCAATGAAGTGAAATGTGTGTGTGTGTGACATTGTATGAAATACAGTTATGAGGAAGGTTGCATGACGCGGCGAGTGGAAGGATGTTAAAAATAACAGCGAGTTACCGTATTTGTTTTATATATCTGG